AAAGATATAAGCTAATTATCATTTGATGTATATTATCTATTCATATAAAATGAATAGATTTGATATGCATCAAAATTTAAAAGGTAAGATAGAAAGAAAGAGAGTTGTTTCTTTATTTTTTTTGTGTGAGATCAAAATATAGTAATGTATTTAAAAATTCAGTAAAATCAAGAGTTATTAATGTTAATAACAAAATAAAGTATGTCTCTATTGAATGAACAATAGTTGAGATAGATATGTTTTAAGGACACGTACATCGAAACAAATACACGCGTGCTCTGACAAGATAATTATTCATCAAAACTAATACTAATGGAGTGAGTATAAATGATATATAATCTGTCTCTTATATGTATATAATATCTTAAGAAAAAGAAAGAACAATTTGATAAATCTTTAATTGAAGAAAAGTTTATTTGTTTTTGTATGTATATGATTTTATTAGTATAAAAATAAAATTAACAAATGATTTGTTCACAAGGTATTGTTTGATATAATAAAGAAAATGTTTCAATTAAATGATAAATAATAATAGATCCAATTAATGCACCTAATTGTACATTAACACCATACCAAAACATTCCATTTGAAGAATAATTTCGAACATAATTTGCAATAATCAAACGAGGATATCCTAGAAGTACATAAGTACTAAGCCAAATAGTTAATATTAGAATATCACCTTTTATTGTATTAACAAATGGTGGACATGGACTTTTAAATGAAACAAACATATCAAATAAAAATGTTATTGATCCACATAGAATTAAAATAAATATATAACGTTTAGATATAACAGGTTTTATTATACCAAATATCCAAGTAAGTGTTAACATCCATGGTGATAGAATTGTACCAAAATAAAAAATTTGATGTCCATATGGCATTAAAACATAAGTTGAAATTGAAAGAAGTATTCCAAACAGAATTGAACTTGTATAGGCACATCCAAATAGAAGAATAAGATAAGATGTTTTAGTTAAATGAAACGTTTCAGATGAAATTGTTTTTTGTTCAATAAGAGTATTTATAGTTTCAATATCATTTTCAGTTAATTTGAAAGACATTTTAGATACATTTTGACGTGTTGTTCGAGCAGCTTGTGTCCATTGTAATAATACAAATGAAATTAAGGAAATTGTTAAAAGAAAAAATAAACATAAAAAATAAATAGAAACTGAAAATCGTGCTGTTTTATAAACGATTCCTGTAATATTAGTTCCATTAATCGAAGGAATACAATGAAGTTGACCATTGCCTTGTACAATAGCAAGTAAACTTGGTATAATTGATGTAAGACTTTCACCAAGAAATAGAGCACTTATAAATTCTTTTCGAAATTTTTGTATATATTCAGCAAATGAAACGGATGATGTACAATCAAGTAAAGATAGAAAAAAAGCAAGTATAAGAAGTGCTGTACTATATTTTTGATTTCGTATAATTGTTGTATATTGCCAAAAAAATACCAGTAATAAACATGATAACATACCAATAATAATAATAATATAATTAATTGGTATAGGATTAAATGTATGTTTTTTATATAAACATTTAATAAGAACAAGTGAAGCAGGTGCTATATTACCAAAATTTGTAATAAGTGCAAGATATGCACCAAGTTTCCAATGTTCTGGTTGTGTTAAAACAATTTGTGGTAATTCAGCAAATATTCCGTTAATATCTGTCCATGATGAAAGAAAAACAAGTGTTAAAAGAAGATAAGTTATATAGTCATTCAACGTCCATTTATTTCGAATCATTCTAAAATACAAATATTTGACGATTAAGAAAAAAAAACATTCTTTGTCGGTATTCCGTACATATTTTATTTCGTATTGTATTTTGATAGATAATATATTTAGAACAGTGGCGGATTCAGGATTTCGTTTATGCTGAATCTCAGCTCCAGAGCATGGAACCTAGATGAAACTTATGGAGAGTAATATTGGACCCAAATGGCGACTTAAAAAAAAAATTTTTTGTAATCGGAGTTTACAAAAAAAATTTTTTTTCAACCACCAACCCCTAATTTTTTTTGTAATATTCCATTTAGAATTCGATCGTAATCTACGTCGAATTTCATCGACACATTTCAAAGGCGACTATAAGTTTCAGTATGATTTTTGACTAAACAGTGGGATATATATAGGTTTGTAGAAGAAGATTTTCTCTATCTAATGGTATATGTATAATCAAATTCTGTTGCGTACCAGTTTTTTCGATAGATGGCGTCATATTTCACTGTACAATATCTCGAATGTGACGCCATCTATCGACAAAACCGGTATGGTATAGAATTTGATTATACATATACCTTTAGGTAGAGAAAGTCTTCTCCTACAAATCTACATATGTCCCATTGTTTAGTCGAATCCTTTTAGCCGCCTTTCATCGAAAAATATGCATCCGTTCAGGAGATATAACATTTTAAATTTTTGCAATATTTTCCAAATATTCAAAACGTTATATCTCATGAACGAATGCATATTTCCCATAAAATTCGACGTAGATTACGATTAAATTGTAAAAAATGGAATTATTACAAAAAACTAAAAAAATTAAGGGGTAACAGTTGAAAACAAATTTTGTTTTCGCAAACTTCGATTACAAAAGTTTTGTTAAAAACTCATCATTTGGGTCCAACATCACTCTTCATAAGTTTCATCTAGGTCCCATGCTCCGAAGCTGAGATCCAGTATAGAAAAAATCCTGGATTCGCCCCCGATTTAGAAAAGATACCAAACTCGTACGAATAAAGGTCAACACAATCGATATCCTTTTCTAAACCATAATAAAACTGGTATTTCATGTTCATAATTATCAAAATAATCATATTGTTCATTATCATTAAATAGATTCATTTTTTCTTGAAAAATAATTCTTATATAATAAATATAAAAAATAGTTAATAATAAAAGATAGATCATATAAAAATAATCATTATAATTAATATTTGTTGATGATTGAACAATAATTTGTTGAAAAAGATCATGAATGAAACAAGTATTATCAATAGATTGAAAATTATTTTTTTGTTTGATTATGAAATAATTATGATGAAAATCTATTTGTTTTTTTCGAATAGGATATACTGAATGATGAAATATTGAAATAGATTGATTATGACTCATTTATTTCTCGTTATGTTGCTATGAGTTAAAAAACAATAGGTAAGTATATGAATAGTTTATTAAAATTAATAATTAACATGTTAAATAAGTTTATTTTATTTGTCAAAACAGAAAGAAGAAAAACATAAATGAAAGAAAGACATGAGTAGAAATGAAAAAACTATATTACGTCAATTTTTCACAATTTTTTTTGACATTCAGCAGGTGGATTTGAACCCTAAAGAATAAAAATAATGATTATTATTTTAAATATTGAAATTTTTCTTTTATGTTGTGAATTATAAAAATATTCAATGTATCAAATATCAATCGATATAATTTAACTAATATGTCAGAATATTAATCGATTGATAGAGTATAAAATTT